TATAATCAAAAGGTAGAACGAGGTTTAAGACTCGAGCTATCTATTTGCACCAAAGATAATAACCACAAGATTAGTAAAGTATTTGATATTCAGATTCCTGAATTCTCTTTAGAAGCGATTTTATCAGGATCTAGTGGCGTTACGTCACAAAATATAGTTGATCTATTTAGGGTAGCAATGAAGATTCGGCAAAAGGAAAGTTTGTGCTGGTATTGTTATTATAAAGCATATGAGAATCGAGTCAGTGATGTTAAGACTGCAAATAATAGCGGAGCTAGTGCTAAAACACATATTGATGACTAATCGGCAAGAACGATAGTGTATAATGAAATAAAATCGCTCCTTCCTGATATCACCGATGTAAACTTGCGTAAAATAACTTCCAGAGCAAAAAAAGTATATATATTATATGAAGGAATAGGAATTGATAAAATTAGTCAAATAACTTACAGCGCAAGCGCTATTTCAAGTTTAAAGGATATTCAAATTCAAAATATTATAAATGATTTTCCCAAGACAACTGTATGAGTTGCCAGGCACAGAGTAAGTTTTTCTGTATCTGAACGTTGTTTACCTGCCCATTCTTTTTGTTTTGAACTATACCAATCATATGGTACATTCTTTCGTTCTGGACACATTGGATAATCACGAAATTTTGGGTGCAACTCTTTAGGAATTGTTAACTTAACCTCTAAGCAACATCCCCGATTTGATTTTTCTTTTATTGTTAAAATTTTCTGCACTAAAGGGTGAGATGCTTCCAAAGGTTTTGTTGATAGCCATTTAAATCCACCGGTTGGTAAATATTGCGACATTGCCCAACCATATAGGTTATTGGCATCTAGATAGAGCAACCATTTTTTTGCTTTTTTTCCATCATACCCCTCTAATCCAGGAATATTTGCTCTTGCTATGCGTCGTCTTGCTAAAGACATTCCACCTCTCTTCATTGCTGTAAAGAAGTCATGCATATCCCCCTGGTGTTCATTAAACAATTCTAACTTAACTTTTGTTACCTTCATACATGCATCCCATGCTAAACCTGGAGCTGTTAGATAGTTTGCTGGATCGAGCTTGAATGCTGAATATGAAGCTTTTCTAAATGCCTCAAATGCATCTGCTAAAATTAGTACATCAGTCTTTAGATAGATATCATGATAATCGCCAAACGTTTTACATCCTGTTTCTCGCCAAACCGTCCAAGCAAAGTCATAATCTTTTTGAGATATGGTATAAATTTTCTCGTGTTCACATTCTTTGTTTTCTTCACATTCATTACAATTACCTGGTTCTTTTTTATGCTTACATTTATGACATTTGTGTTTACATTTCCCTATCTTCTCTCCATGCTCACATTTTTCTATTCTACAATTATGATCACAGTAATTAAACCCATCTAAATCACTATTAAAATCTTTACGTGGTGGGAGCTGTGTCTCATTAAATTATTTAACCATTGATATGGGAAAATTCCTTTACGTGTAAGCAATGATAATAAATGAGGTGAGATAAATTTTGACATAATTGGAAAACATTTGGCAAGTTGTTCTGGTGTTTTGTTTTCTCCCTTTTTTTCATCTCGTAAATTTTCTGCCATCTTAGCTAAACCCGGTAACGAAAATTTTATACTATCAATAAATTGAAGCTGGCATTGAGAAAGCAATATATTGCTCAGAATTATTTGCTATAGGCACTATTTTTTCATCCGTCACTTTTGCTATTTCTTGCATAAGATGATGAAAATCATAGTTGCTCCCTCCACAAAATAATACCGGAATTTTTATTGTTTCTGGATCGATTCGTAACTTGAGATTACAACTACTATGCATTGCTCTGCGAAACTTTCCTATAATATGATCATGATCTATTACTCTATTTTTTCCCTCATCTGGTAATTGTGTTTTACAATACATCCATTTTTTACATGTGTTATGCACTTTCTTTTGTTTGTCATCTAACTTACCTTTAATATTTGATCGTTTTCCATGACATTTTCTATGTGAAGCACCCAAGTATTTTTTAGTTTCAGGATCAAATACACGAATTTTATTATATCCAGCTTCATGTAAATTTCTTCGCATCTCCAACATTTTTTTGCCATTTGATATTTTCGCCATAATTTTGGCGTCATTTTTTCACATGGAACTGGATCACAAAGCTTATCTTTAATAACATCCAAATCTTCTTGAGGGTTTTCTAATAAGTCTTTTATTATATTTTCTGATTCACGATTGATTACTGGTTTTTGCGTTGTTCCATCTGAACAATGTATTGTAT